AAAAAAAAAAAAGGCACAAAAGGATGCTGCAGGTCTTAGACCTATATATTAAGAGCAGCCATAAAAAACATATCAACACAATGTGACAGACAAGGAAAAAAAGTTTACAGGAATTTTTAGTTTTGTTTTGTTTTTATGGTTAACAGCATATTCAATTGTTCTTATCAAATTACTCAGAGGTTATCAAACTTCTGAAATGACTAAACTTCTGCATATGTAAACTGTTTTTTAGTTACAAAATAAGGTTGGCCTCATGAAATGCAAATCATAACAAGACCATTTAAGGGCTTGGCAGAAATTAGTACATTTTAGAAAGTAGAAAAAGAAAACACAACTTTTTTTATATGCATCAAATAGATATACATTCAAAAAACTTTCTCCGAGTATAATATGAATGAGACTCATCGGAGGTTATTGTTGTTAACTGCTCACTATTTTCCTCCATGAAAGAACACAAGAATTTAACTCTCATGAGAGCTACTAATTCAATATTAAAGTAATATCACTGGTTAAAAAAAAATTACATTTGTTCAATATAAATTTTACTAAAACCTACGACAGGCAAAGAGTCTATAAATAAAAGCACATCCTGTAGCTTTGGCCTCTTTAAAGTTCTTATTATGGGATGGTTATAGAAACAGAACCATGGCAGAATTATGTGCTGGTGCAAAACATTAGAAAAAACTTAATTTACATTTAAATTTACCATTCTGCACATCGAGTGACTATTGGCTGAACAGAACTGTATTCAATAATTCATATTCTATAATTTCATTCAACTAATACAAAAAGCTAAATAGAAAGATTTATAGCTGAACACGGAGTTCCTAAGGCTGGTATCACATATCATTCTCTGACAGAGTAAGAATTCATCAGCAGAGGACATAAGAGCCAGATTGAGAATTGGATTTAAAATACCTTTCCCTGCTGTGCGTACAAGTAACACATTGTGTCATGACCTAAAGAATATTTTCTGTTATTCAATTTTCTTTTCTGGGCAGACAACCACACAGCCCAATGACTTTAGAAACCAAACTCCAAAATTCTACCTGATAGAGTCTTAGTAAAGGCAGTTGGATCCTAAAGACAGGTTATCTTTGTCAATGACTGGAAAATGTATCATGGTGCCTCTCGGCCACAGTTCCAAAACAACTAAGGCCAGCTGTGAGGGTTACCAATTAGTGCTTGAAACTTAGAAGGATGATCTGTACATGCTTTTTTTATACTTAGATGTGGAGATTAGAGGGCAAGGACAAATAACACTGGGGTAAGGGCCCAGGAAAGTGTGTATATGCAGGACCTATAACATCCCTTCCAAACTCTTATGGATTCTATGACCTCAAGGTCAAATTTAAAGCAGCAGGAATAGAGCTGGAATTCCAAAACCTCTGAAAAGAAAGGGCTAATAATACAAACTGCAGCTGATTTTATGCAGCAGGAACAAAATAACATATCATTCACGTGTGAGTTCATGTAATTTATCTTCAATTAGAATTATTATCTATACAGCAGCTGAAGACCCACAATTGCTGATATACTGCAGATGAGAACACAGTTGCTAGTCTCTCAGCTCTTAGGCTAAATGATGATCACACAATATAGATCACTTGTTGTATAAAACAATTTTGGCTTATGTGTAAAGCAAGCTGCACTGCCAGCATTTACATCAGCATTCCCTTTCGTAGGCCCGCGAGGTTCTGTTGCGACTCTTCAGTTTTATTGGTGCTACAGTGCAATCCCAAATTCACATAGAAAACATTACATGCCTTTTTAATCCAGGATTTACTCCTTTAAGTGAGTTATTACAGCTATTTTTTAAAAACAGATATTTAATATATTCAAACCCCAAAGATACAGTAATTTAAAATAACTTTTACAATATTTATAATTACGTAATTCATCTCCACACAGTCTTGACTTCCAAGGTTGTCAAGCCGGTGTTTGAAGTATTCTAGCTTACACATTAATGGAAGTGGTGTCTGAGCTCACGTTTAACAGCTTACACTGCCAAATCAATAAAGAAAAACACAGTCCAGAAATCAAGGCGGCATTTTCTACTGTAGTGTTTTCAAAAGTGTGTTCAATGGATGTCAATAAGTATTTCATTTTTAAAAAAAGTTCCATCTTTAGATAAAGATACATTCAAACTGGTTTCAAAGGAATTCTTAGAGCCATTTAATATGCAATTGGCAGCTTTGCAAAGTCCCCACATTATGTGTCCACAGAACCTTTTATCCCCATGAGCATCTCTTAGGAACGGTGCTCCACAGAGCAGGTCTGGAGAAACATGGCTTCAGCATTTGGTGTATTCAGAAGCTTCATAAACTCCAGACTATGAGACATCAGTCTGTTTCTTAAAATTAACAAAATAACTATTACAGCCAGGAAGTCTGGAATTTCAGACTCAGAAAGTGAGCATGTAGGCAGGGAGGGGGGACCACACCTGTCTATCATACTCCATCATTTTCACCTCCCTAGCAAAATATGTTAAAAAATACCCATGTTAACCACTCCTGCTGATGGCTGTGCACAGCACCTGAACAAACTAACCAATAAACAAAGGCTGCTTAAAGCAACACGATGGAATCGTTTTCACTTGCCCTAATGGAGAAATGCCACATGAAATAATTCATAATTACATGTTTAGAATTGGTAACCCTGGTTATCACTCAGAGCCATCGTCTTTGAAGCACTACTGAATAACTGAAGTTGCTATGTAAAACTCTGCTTGAGGAGTTCACTTTAGAGCAGTGTTTCTCAACCAAAGCACTACTGGGATTTTGGGGCTAATTCTTTGTTTTGAGAAGCTGCCTTGTCCACTGTAGGATGTTAGAAGTCAACAGCATCCCACCAGTTGTGACAACAAAAAAATGTCCCCAGATGTTGCTTAGATACAAGCAAATCATCCCCAGTTGAGAACCACTGCTGCTGAGAGAAAACGAAAGCTTGTACCTTGACTCTGCTTTGCTGGGAAAGGTTCATTTTACAGGCATACTGTGACTTGCACATATCAACAAACATCTAGTAATTAGTAGCAATAGAGATCTTTCTAAATTCTGTGTGATCAGAAACATAAGTAATTTGTGAATGGTTAGGAGGGAGCGGTTTACTCATTTCAGAGGGAATTAGTGGTAATTTTACTGTCATTTTATTAGTAAGTGTTTTCTGAATCATAATGCTTAACTGATACATATTCTAACAATTATAAAAATGCTAATTGTGTGTTATAATCTGTTAAGGGTCATAATGATTGAGGCAGAGAATAAAAAATAACAATCATCAATGACTAACTCAGATCATATTCTATTCCTTGACTAAACATTCTCCATGACATTCCAATTCAAAAATCCCAAGTCTTGTCTTTAAACTGTTTGCTTGTACTGTCGCCTCATTTTTCTCAATTATCAAAAAGAAACCCTTCACATGTCATGAAGAAGAATCCTGGTACGTGTCAAGAAGTACATTATCAAGTTTGAAAGCCATTTCTTCAATAGCCACATCTTCAGTTTTGTCACAATTGTCAACTCCAGATACATCGCTCTCTTTATTTTGTTCTTTCCTTACTGTCTTTAAACACTTGTCAAGTCTCTTTATGAACAAGTCCACATCCTGCATCTTCATTCCGATGGCTGATGCGGCATTGAGGTAAGCACATGGGTAATTATTTGTATGTGACATAAAGCCTCTGAAAGTGTAGCCACTCACGGTTTGCACAGACCCAAGAGGCACAACCCTGAAAGGAAAAAGACTTCCTCATTTAATATGTCTGGTGATATTAACAGAATATCACCCATAAACAAACAACAACAACAAAAAGCATGTGTTACTAAGCCTTACATCTACTTATTAGGAAGTTTAAAAACATCCATAAATTGTGGTCTATGAAAACAGACTGTGTCAGCCTTAAAATAAAAAGTACACAATACACCGCAATTTTACATGGAAAAGTACTACCTGGTGATTACCATTTACTTATCTTCTATTAGAGACATACAAGCTCTAGGAATCACCAACACCTTTACATGTTCTTCAAAGAGGTTAAAAAAAAAAAGATTTCTGTTTTTGTACCAAATATAGAGTCTGACTTCACATATATACACTATAATGGAATGGTGAAATCTGCAAGTCAAACCCCTTTGATTAATTGCCATGTGTCACCTCAAATAATTAACAAACCAAACTTACAGCTATCTGATCAGTGCTATGCAATGGAGGCTTTTAAAACAAGGATCCAGAAAAAAATTTTGTAACCGCTTACAGTGGGGTGGTGGTCAGCTATCAGTAATATTCAGCAATTAAGCTTGATTTCATTGGCATACTTGACATAAACAGATTCCTAAGAGTACTTTTTTTAAAAAGAAATCAATTAAGATCAAAGTTAAACATAGAGACAAGTAATGGCAACTCTAAAAGACCAAGAAAACTATTTTAGAAGTGTCAAAACTATGCTATGTTTCATAAACATAGTTTGTCAGGTAAAAGCTGAATGAATCTAAGATTTTTTTTTTAAAGTTGTCCTTTGATATGAAATATCTAACCTCTAGTAGTCAAAGAAAAATACTTTAATAGAGAATGTACAAAAGACTACTTAGAACAAGATGTTTCTTTTCAAGTCATTTTTCTCTGACCTCACCAAATAAAAAATGAAAAATGAAATTAATTTTTAAGCCATGTACATATAAGAGCAAAAAGTACATTTTTCAAAGGCAGTACTTACACAAGAATTGCATAACCTTTTCAGTTTAGGAAATGGGCTTTTTCTTAAAAACATTTTTACTTAAATTTAGTAATGAAGATGATTCATTTCTAACACAATTACGGGACACCAATGAAGATTATCTAACAAAGGAAAGTAAAGGCAAGAATTTGTACAGAGGTAATGAAACATCAGTCTGTCTGTCTGTTGAAACAAACAAGATTCTTATCTTTCTGTGTCTATTTCAAGTATAGGCACGGATAATAATAGCCTTACAGATTCTCTACGTCATCATTCTTTTACTCCACCATGAATTCTCAGGGGTAGTTCTGCATAAACTTAGGGAACTATTGTTAAGGAAGGTACTTTTATTAGAGTTAACTTTAAAAAGCCAAATAAACCCAAGCTTCTTTTGAACATACTTACCTGGCTCCAGAAACCTGTCTAGTGAAAAGCATTGAGCCAAGCTGAGTGACAGCTTTGTCACGGTGTTCATCTAGTGTCGTAAGCGTCACAGCTGAAAAAGAAAAAAGTATCCCAATGAACCTTGGTTAACCAGCACAAAAATCACTCAAAAAACAAACAATAATGGAGACATTATTTTTTATTAAGTTAAAATATATATAACATGAAATTTACCATCTTAACCATTTTTAAGTGTATGTTCAATGGTATTAAATACATTCATATTGTTGTACTACCTACCATCACCACCACTTATCCACCCATCCATCCTCACAATTGTTTTCATTTTGTAAAACTGAAACTGTACACCTATTAAACAATAACTCCCCATTCTCCCCTCCCCNCAGTGAAGCGACGTCCTCCACAACTAGACTGAAGAACAAAAGGACAGCAACTTGTCTGTTCCCCTTCCCCGATTCCCCAACGCTGTTCCCCTCCCCCAACTCCCTAGTAAAAATCTTGAAAAAAAAAAAAAGAATAGTTTTTACAACTTTAAATGATTGGAGAAAAACAACATTGAAAGAAAATAAATAGTTCACAGCTCATGGAAATTATATGAAACTCAAATTTCAGTGTCCATAATAAATGAAGTGTTACTGGAACACAGCCATGCACACTCGTTTACGTGCTGTCTGTGGCTGCTTTCGAGTAGTTTATTAAGTATTTAATAAACTCAATCAAGTATTTACTACCTGGCCCTTTCCAGGAAAAGCTCACCTATCCCTGTTCCAAAGTGCAGGATCTTAACCCTTGTTCCAAAATTTCCAAGAAAGCTCCAAGGCTGGCGTCAGAGCCCTACACACCAGGGTTTCTAGATCCTTCCCCTGGAATGAGGCCAGATAAGCCATCGAAGTCACCCAACTTTTCTGAGGCTTAACTGCAAAATTAGGATCATCATCACGCCCTGCCCAGCTCCACAGACTGTCAGGAGATGAAAACAAGATAATGTATGAGAAAGCACTTGGTAATCTGGAAAGCACTCTATAGCAATGGGAAGGGTTATTGCACAATTTGATTCAGAGAAAGGAGGCTAGGATGAGAGAAACAAGCCAACTGGGGGTGGGGTGCAGGGTTGGGGGTGGGCGTGGGGAAAGCGAGTTCTGTCTTGCTTTTGCACGATTCATTCATAAAGCAGACCAAACCTGCTAGGCGTGGCCTGTCGTACCCTGCATACCCCTCTTTCATGTAGCAGTTTCTGTGGTCCTGAAGTCTGCAATCATCCTTGAAGCATTTGAATTTGAGGCCAGTGCCTCTGCCCCAGAGAAATGGCTCACGGGGCCTTCCGAGGCTTGGCCTCCTCCCCAAGGAGTGGGCTTCCTCCCGGGGAATCTTAAGGTGCTGGGAAGACTTTTCCGCTCCAAACACAGCCTGTTGTTTTCTGTTCACTGATTTGTAAACTTTCACAGAGATTCATTTCTACCTTTATTCCAAACTTGTTACAACAAGTATTTCTGGAATAGGCTAATGTTAAACCCTATTGGTTATTTCTGTAGTGTGAACAGGTTAGTTGAGCATTTGTTCAAGTGATTTACTAAGGTCCTCCAATCTGCGAGGAAAAGGAGGAAAATGTACTTAGTATAGATCAGTGACCCCCCCCCACTCCGCCCCGAAGGACAGGCAGGGGAGCTAGGAGAGTGACATCAAATCTCATGCCATCACTACTGTGCTGAACCAACCCCATTTTTCAAGGTGACTAAAAAAGTGAAAGGTGGAGAGGAAGATGCAGGGAAAGTCCCAGGAGGTACGCTCATGAGATTAGGTTTGGAATAGTGTTGTAATGGAGAAGGTCAAGGGTGGGAGGCACATCGTGGGTGTGAAGGCTTATCCGGAGCTGCTGCCTGGTAACTCTGGGGCGGGGTCCTCTGCTGAAACGACCCCCTTCCCACTTACAGAAACCTGCTGCCCTGGGTGCTCTCAACACAGCAGCCAATCTGGAACCTGACAGCAGCCCTGCTCTCCTCTGGCCCCGCCCGCGTCCCCCTGCTGGCACCGTGCAGGCCTGACACTCAGCCGATCTTTGAAAAGTGAGAGACAAACAAAACTGTGTGCAGAATTGGATGTTTATTTCCACCATCTGCGTGGCAATACAAGTTCAAGTTATAATGGGATCCGCTCTCCATCAGTATTAGGGAACCATTTAAACATCCACAGCCATTTACTGATTATAAACACACACTAAAAAAAAAGGCGGCAAGTGGCATGTGGCCCCACACCTGCTGTCTTTGTGTGCGTTAGTCAATTTCATGCCTAGGAAGCGCTGGGCTCCGTGGGGATGGCGATATGAGCCGTTTCATTGGTTGTGGGGTTTTTTTTTTGTTTTGTTTTGTCTTGTTTTTTTGTTTTTTTCCCCAGGGAAACAGCATAAACCAATCTGGCTCAAAAATACACTTATTGCAAATAGATGGAAATAAATGGAAAATAGACAATGATCATAAATGCAAACAAAAAATGCTGAATTTCTTAATGTTAAAAGGTCCATTTACTCGTAACTAGTGGACTAAAACTGACGAGTATTTTTACTGGTATTCAAAGCAAGTTCGCAGGGGTCGCTGTGCAAAAGGCTCCTATCTGCCACCTGTTTCATGCCCCCACTCACTCCTCCACCACCTCGCACCCCCGCCCCAGAAGGTTTGAGTACTGGGCAAACAGGGCACAAATTGGACATGCAGAGAGCAGGCATGGAAAATTGAAGGAACAAAGAGAAAATTATGCATTTTGCATGACAAAAGAAAGTTTTCCTAAAACCTGTGAATGTTTTCTGGATCAATTTTTTACCTTGCAAAGGTCTCTGTATCTCCTGTCATGGGGCCATTGGTGGCTCCAGCCTTGGGGCCCTACCTCAGCCACGTGACTTTGGGGAATCATTCTCAGACCCGTTTTCTTACTGGGAATAGTGTCAACGGGGCGTTTCATCAGACCAGTGTATCCCAGGAGCTTGGATGGCACATTTCCAGGTTTCCTTCCCCAAGGAGAGGTTTGTTTTTGCTTTATTTTAGCCTGATTTTTTTTTATTGTTGCTATTTTTGTTTTTCCCTCACAGCTTTCTAACTAAAAGTACTTTCTGCCTTTATGGTGTAAAGGACCCTTTTTATCACCCATGGCCAAATTTTTTGGACGGGGGAATGTGGAATAACACTCCCAAGCTTTTTACCTGGTCAGAAGTTCCTGGTGCTTCCTGAAAGTGCCTTTGTCTCTCTAATGTGATTCTTGAGACACATCAAGCAGACTCTTCCCACTGGATCACACTCAGCTCCTCTGATCTATCGTGGCGGCCTGTCTGCCTCCCTTCTTCTCTGAAAACTGGTTTTTGAGATGGCATTCAACCTTCCCCTCACTGCTCATTAAGCCTGGCCTGGCTGGAACCCAACATAATGACTCAATTCACCTACAATACATTTATTTACAACAAGGTTTCCCTCTATATCGCTAGAATGATGACCCTCACTGCCTTACAGGTCTAATCCAATTTGGGGTTCTAATTTGTAGCCTTATGTTAAGGAAGTTGGTATTGAAACTGAGTTATTAGGCACGAATGTGAACTCAATTCCATGTCTCATGATAAGCGATGAAACTTGGAGCAGGTTGAATCGTAATTTCTCCAGCGTCCTGGAGGGCTGGTAGGGGCCCATGGGGAGTGTGCATGGCTCCATAAACCCAGCAGTATTAATCCGTGGGACAGCTGTCAGAAAAGCACTGTCTCAAGTACTTTGTCCTCTCTCTGCCCTTGTCTAATTTTCACTGGTTCCTCGTGCTGTTTCTCACCTCTTCCCCCCTTTTCCACTAAAATCTACCCTTAGGGGATCTTACTTGGCTCCTGACGTAAACATAAAAAGAAAGGTAATGAGAAAAATGAACACTGACAGCATAAATGGTATCAAGATCTTAGTGTTAATTATTTCAGGTGTGATAATGGTAGGGTAACTTTNGTGCAGTACTAGTCTTTTTGTAACTGGCTGATTTCACAGAGACATTACTTTTTATTCATTGTCAAGAGGCATTATTTTACTTTAATGCACTTAATAAATTATAGTAAGGACTTGTTTACATATCAGACAAAAATATGCTCATATAAATTAACATAGACTGGGACAGAATTTCCATATCACCTTCTAAAGAGTGAACTTTCCAATGAAATTGATGGAACAATGACATGCATGATCAATATGGCAGTTTATTCTAATTCAACAATGTTTTAAGAACTTGTAAAATGAGAATGTGGGATCTATTTCAGTACATGTGTAAGACTAAGCAAGGTCATTTCTGCATATGGAAATGAAAATTATCTTTCTGAGGTTATGTGGGTAAACTGTATTCTATTTACACTGCCAACCACCACTCCTGTTACCATTTCCTGAGGACGGACTTACCATACTAGACAGTTTACAAACATAATCTCAACCGTTCTTTAACAAGAACGTGTGCATGTGAGGGATCATTATCTCTATTTTATACACAGGGAAAAGGAAGTTAGAGACTGGTATATGGCAGAATTCAGATTCAAACCATACCATATCAGCTTCTGTAACATCTATATAGATTAGAAACCAGCAAAGGACTGACTGGGATGGGTTTTATTATCTATCTATAGCCAAATGGTTTTCCATGGAAGCCCATCCCTGAAAAAGGTTTCAGTTACAAATGAGTGTTTCCTTGCTTTCCTCAGATATACATGAAATATGAAACATATTATATTGCACACATTCACAAAGTAAAAGGGGTAATTATGAAGCTTAAAAGTTACTTAAATGTATAAAAGTCAACATTCATATTATCCTGTTCAATAGCTCTTGTACTACATGACAAAAATACACAGTCCTTATACAAAGAAATCATCATAAACACAAATTTCTCTAACACAGAGACGCTCAGGGAACAAATAGCATTAAAAACAATATAACAATAGCTTTAACTTCTAATATTATGGTGTTTTGTTAACTGTAGAAATTTTTTAATAGTGACCAAATTATTTTGGTTAGAAGCAGGAGTTAAAGTATTAAATTCTGTATGTTCATTATAATACTTCATAGTGATTTGGATTCTTTCAGTATATAGTTTTTATTTTAGAACTACATTAAAGCATTTCTAAAGGCTAACTGAACTTTTTCAATTTACAAATTAATACTGTAATAAATTCAGAAATATCACTGTAACCAGAAAAAATTCATGGTCTGTCTGGTAATACCAGTTTTCTGCTGAGGACGGTTCTGAACTAACTTTTTTTAAAAAGAAAAAACATTACCTAAAGATATGGGATTGTGAGGTGTATGCAACAGTCTTTCATTGTAGGCTTCTGACAGCTTCTTTAGTTGGATGGACAAATATGAAAACATTTCCTGCAATGACAAAATGTTACACTTAAAGAAAAGCAAATAAATACTAACTGCAACTTGCCAGATTTAATAAGACAAAATCTGATTGGTGTGAAGTCTGCTATAAATTAAACGCATTCATGTGTCCTAGGAGCAATTCTTTCCTTTGCTGCAATATAGTGAGATTCAAAGCTGCCACAATGTGAAACCTCAGGCTTTAGGTAGATGGAGATGAACCAGCACACTTCCTACTTTGGGGCTATTTTGTGTCTATCACAAATCCATCCTCTTTTCAGAACCTCCATGGCCCCTGCTCTAGTCCAAAGAGCTGTCAATCTCTTCCCTGGACCACAGCAATGCATCCTTTTATACTCCTCTACAATCTGTCCTACACACAGAGGCCAGAGTGGTCTATCAAACACATCAATTACATCATGTCCCTCCCAATGACTTCCTCCTGTAAGTATAAAACAACCAAACTCTTCATCTGTAAGGCCCCAAATGATCTGGCCCAGCCAACACTCTCGGCTCAGTAATTGTCCTTCCCCCATCACTACTATGGCACCGGCCACGTCAGCCTCCTTTCCAACGGCTGAGCACGCCAAGCTCATTCTAGTGTCAAAACCTTTATGCCTGCTCTCCCTAGACTCAGAGGCTCTTCTCCCAGGTCATCCCATGAGTGGTCCCTTTTGTCACAGACCAGGGACATCTTCTTTTATTACTTCCCTATAAAAGTAGCACTCCGGCTCTGCCCACTCCCAACTCTCAATCTCCCTCCAACACCATCACCTATTTTGGTTCCTTCACTATACTTATCACAACCTGCAAGTATTTCATTTACCTGCTTACATGAATACCGCCTATAACTACCTGCTAGAATGGAAAAACTCCCTGACGGCAGGGAGTTTGCCTTCTTCACCACTGTTTTCTCAACACCAAGAAAAATGTGCCAGGCTTTTAGAATGTGAGTAACTTAGGCAGGGGTAGTTTAAAAATGCATTTCCTTTAAATCATAGGAACTTAAAATTAACAATGCCCTTAACTCAATTAAAAGACTACAGCAACTAAAAACTGTATTCTTGATCCTACTGTAGAAAATAATGTATATCTAACAGTAGATAATAAAATAAAAACATATTTTGTAAGTATGAAATTTCATGTTCACATGTATGTAAGTAGAAGTTTAACGAAGTTACAAATAAATATTAAATTGACAATTGTTTGACCTAAAACTATGCTTTCTTCTCCTAGTAAGCCCTTTAAAAAGTATTGGAATGAAAACCTGCCAAAAATACCTCTGCCCCTGAACAAGCCCATCTGTACTGACCTCCTCCAGCCACAGTCAAAACCTCTAAACTCTAAAGATACACACACCTAAGGGCCAAGGGTCAACAGAGTTAAGTTCCCTGTTGTAGAGACAGCAGGAAATGATACTTCTCCAACTTCAAAACCCACAAAAGTTGCTTGTTTTCTGTAAGTTTAGTGTTGCATAGTCTGTTCCCACAGTGGGGCTCAGAATAGCTTTTTCATGTCTAAAGTACATAGATGAATAACTCTATCTTTTGTTAAGTAAAGATTAAGAGAAGAGGTAAATTCCTACCAAGTTTATAAATTATTAATGAGTCAGCTGAAGACCACAAATATTTTTATCCTTGTCAACAACAGTATATTTTATATTTTGACCCCCCAAAATTTAAACTAATTGTCATTAACTTTTTGGGATGTTTTATAAGATCAATTCTCAGCACGTCAGAATTATGAAATCTTAAATCACTAAAAGAAATTGAATTTTTTATATTCAAAAGTTATCCACGTTTGTAATACCTAATAAGCCTATGAGTAGGTGTTACTGAGAGCTGTGATAAGCCTATCTCTTTTGTCATTAAAAAAAAAAGTGTAGAGAAATATTATCACCAGAAACAGGTGGAAAAAGTTATTGGAGACATCTTTTCTTAGAAATATAGATTTCTGGCCCCTCCTTTTTCAACTATTATATTCCGATATTCACTTCCGAAGGTAAAACAGTAAGATAATCAAATAGAATAAAGAACTCAAGAGTTTTTCCAGCAATTCATAATCTTTTAGTATAATACCAGTGTTAATGAAGGGAAGAATTCCTGAGTTTCATTTATATGTTTTCATCTGCTATTAAGTAACTAGGTAAGTAATTTAAATGCTCTATATTGGTTTTTTTTTAAGTTACTTTTTAATTTTGGTATTAACTGCTGATTTTTCATCTATATTATAAACCAGAATCTTAATACGCATCTAATTCTCTCCTACTCTCAAATTCATCAACCTCTTATATGCAAAAACAAATGTGATAGCCAGGAAATGCCTCTTACAGACTCCTATGTTTCCCTCACTAATAGTAACAATGAAAAACTTATTTCAGTGGTGAGGACAAATCTAAAATATTATTCTACCTAGTATGGCTGCCACGATAATCACCAATGTGGTCACACTTGGAGAGTACAGTTGACCCTTGAACAGCGGGGGTTTGAACTGTGTAGATCTACTTACATACGGCTTTTTTTCAATAAACACAGTTGGCCTTCTGTATCCACAAGCTCGCATCTATGGATTCAACCCAACCACGGGCTGAAAAAAGTATTTTCGATCCATGGTTCAGAATCTGTGGATGTGGAAGGCTGACTGTATGCATTGTTCTAGGTCACAGGTAAGGGACTTGGGCATCTGCAGAGTTGCTGGGGGAAGAGGAGGATGGGGTGGTCCTGGAACCAATTTAATCCCCAGCCAATACTAAGGGCCCACTGTCGTTAAGTTTTCGGGGAATTAAAAGTTATACCTGGATTTTCGACTGCACAGGGGGTTGGTGCCCCTAAGCCCATTGTTCAAGGGTCAACTGTACTTAATTTGTACTTAGCTATTTCTAAAGAGAGAGGAAATGTTCCCTTAGTAACATCTGTAGATGGTGCTTTTAAGCTTACTGATGCATACATGACTATTAAAAAACTGAGGGCCGGCCGAGTGGCACGTTGGTTAAGAGCTGGCTTGGGACACCAGCTCTGAGCAGCAGGGCCCTGGTTCAAATCCCACACGAGGGCCAGTGACACTGCCCTCTGCAGCTAAGATGGTGAACAATGGCTTGACCTGGAGCTGGGCTGCCGTGAGTCGCCTTCGATGGTGTAGGCTGTAGCCCCTGCTGCAGTGGGCTGCCGCAAGCTACCATGAGCGGCCGACCGTCAGCGTGAGCTGCCAAGAGCTGCCGTGAGCGGCCATCCAGAGGCCAGTGACCAATCTGCCTCACCCAGGAAGAGCGCAATGATCACAATACCAACATGGGCCAGTGAAGCAACGTCCTCCACAACTAGACTGAAGAACAAAAGGACAGCAACTTGTCTGTTCCCCTTCCCTGATTCCCCAGTGCTGTTCCCCTCCCCCAATTCCCCAATAAAATCTTAAAAAAAACAAACTGAAATGTTCCCAATGTTCAATTTCTAATACTTTAACAAATAAATATTAACCAGTTCTATAAATCACTTGCTAATACCATAGAATTCAGTTTTAACTTCAGCTAAATTAGGATAAAAATCTTTAGACTGCAAACATAATACTAACCTAACTAGATCTCATAAATTGACATCCATTTGCAGAAGTATCTCTCTACTCTGTGATGGGTCATGACAGGTAATCCAATAAGCAAAGAAGCTTAAATTATCTTAAAGCACAATATACTGAATCCTACAATATTCCACATATTAAGGTCTTAAACGCTCTCCATTAATATCACTACATTAAAATACATAGTTTAGGAGTCTGTACCACTATTTCCTACACTAATACTTGGCTAAGCAGTTTTTTACCTGATGTATTAAAGGTACTACAGAACCTGCAGTATTTTTTTGCTACAGTTAAATCTATAACTGACATTTATTATAAAATACTTCTGTAAAAGGAAAAATTTATAAGCACCCCAAGCAAATGTATATAGAAAGATCTTACGTAAAAGAAATGAAATATTATTGATTTTCTATGTCTTTTGTGCTGTATTTAACTTAATTTTAAAAGACTCTTCACTAGAGATAAACTGAACTATATACCTGAATGCTAATGTCAGCTATATTTCTAGAATAAAAATACACAACTTTGTACCACAGTTCAAGATGTTACTGGAAGAGAAATTGAAGCATATTAAGCATTACCTTTCGGGTGGCCTTTCGCACATTGATTTGCAGTCATGAGGCCCAACATTCAGCCTATCCCTCCCCATAACCCAAAGATGTGAATAATTCACTAAATTTTGAAGAAAAAGGTCTTATGCAATCATGCTTTTTGAAACATACTGTTGCATGTTACAGGATAAGATGAAAATAGAACTTCACGTATTATTATAGTATGTCTCATAAGGTGGGTAATAAATCAGAAGGGAACATAACCAGTGGTCTAATATTTTAATACCATGATAGGATGCATGGAACACAGACCGTGGGTATGTATCCCAGCACGGATGTCCACAGTTGAAGATAACAGTATAAATGCAGCGTGCGGCTCTCTATGACTGGCCAGATGCAAGGATCCAGGCACACTCAGCAGTCCTTGCATCACAGGCTAGTGCACTGCTTTCAAGCTCTTCAGTTGAGGCCCCACATCCAGGACTCAAATCTCAGGTTTTTGTTGAGACTCAACTACTCCACTTTTAGGGCTGCAGATCTCCTAATGTTTCCAAACTCAGCTTTGTTATAGAACACTGTTTGAAGTGTATATCTGATGTTCTTTTAGAACTTAGTTTGTCCTCCAAACTTCAGCTAACAAATTCCAGCCACTGCAGCAGCTATTCCGCTGTCATTCTTCTTCTGCGCTTGTCCAATTCAGCAGGTATTTGCAATCATGATTATCTGTCTGCCCTGCTCAACAAAACACTCTTCTGAAAGGAAAGCTAAGCAGAATAATGGTCTTCTCTAAAAGCAAAACAGATAAACTATCTAAGACTGATCTTTCTTTTTGCATAAGCTCAAAGAAACTGTTTCTTAAATATGAACCCCCTTCCTTAAAGGCCTCTT